CGTTTAGTGAAATCGATTATTGACTTAGAGAAAGTCTGGATTTTGTCAAATTTTAATGCTAAAATTGATTTTGCCGCAAAATCAAATTCCCCATGAACTCGAACGTATTTTGTTCCCGTTAAAGATAGGTTTATGATATTTTCTTCTCTTTTTAGATTCTTTACTGCTACTCATTTGTATCATTCAGATTACAAGTACACACCTATTTCTGTTTAATTAGTTCAAATTTAGTTTTGAACAGGAAAAAATAATAATCATCTAATCATATGCACTCCAGAAAGAAAAACTGAAAGTATCACAATCATTATCTGTTTACAATTAACATACTGTTTCACTTCTACAATCAGAAGATTATCAACCATTACAAAATGAACAAATCTATTCTCAGTAGAACTGAATTCTATCACAAAACAAACACTTAATTCCACGTTTTCGAAAATTTAATGTCTTAGAGAAACATCATATTAAGATTGAAGCTATACCATTAATCCTCTATAGTAGGGATGAATCTGGTCTTACTTTCACTCTCTTCGCATTCGAATACGAGTACTTAACTATGAAATCTTCTTTTAAAGAGCGAATTTCTGATTCTGTCAAAATTTTGAACTTTTATTTTCATCACTTCTTAAAATAATCCTTTATAAATCAGTGTCAAATTCAGTCATGAAAAATTCCAAAACAGGAATGTATTTTTTACCAGTAGTAATTCTGTCCATCGCGCCGGCATAAACCACTAAAGCGATACGTATATTCATTAGAGTCACACTCGTATTTAGGACGAGACTCATGAGCAGGACGATACTTAAGATGATACTCAGAGCCATTAGTACGATGACTAATAGCTTCCCAAGGAGTGGAGTAGTACGGCCGAGGCGTGTATATCTGATACTGATACTGCGACGTACCCCAAGAAGATGAATTACATTGTTGACGACGCGTACGTTCTGCAGCATCAAATTTTCCCTTAGCATTACCGGTTCCACCATCACGAAAGTTCCATTGATTATCAGTACGATACCAATCACGACAGTAGCTACATTTAAGGCAACGGCGACTTGCTCGAGAGCTCATAGAAAAATATGGATCAATGCGGCCACAAACGAAGAGAAGACCACCGATAGATTGTCCAATGCGCCTCACTGCTCGTCATTTCATTGCTTTTATTCCCGGAGATAATATCAAAAAACGTTGTTTTGTCTGCAGCCATACAATGAAGCGGAAAAAAAACGAAGTGTAAGAAGATTTTACTGTCCAGATTGTGACATTCCACTCTGTAATCCTGAGTGTTTCAAAGAATACCACACTTTGAATGCCTTTTGATATTCATACTTTTCATGAATCTGACAGAAATAAGTCATTTTTGAAAAGTTTAAACTTCGTCATTATTTCTCAAAATAAGCCGGTCCTGAAACGGTTTGGCATTCTTTAAATAATTCCAGTAGAATAAAAGAAATATACAAACCATTTTTCATTATTTCGGGTAATATTTTTACTATTAAAATCTGGTCATCAAATAAATTCGGATTTTGTAATACTTATCAGAACAAATGTTCTTCCTTCACTCACGTCACATATTGAATAGAAAAATTGAAATATCAAACAAAAGTATTCTTCTATAATGATATAAATGTGCACACGACTACCCATTTAACTCCTATACGCGTTTCAAAAAACATTTTCCTATCCATTTTAAACGAAGCCCCGGTATCTTTGTTATCTTTCTTTGAACGCATTTTCGTATATTTTCAACGATAAATTCATGCAAATGTAGGGACATTTTTTCCGCAAATGATAGTACAAAAAACGTTCACACACTCTTTTGGATAAATAATAATTCTAATAATATTATTTCCCAACAAAGTTGCTATAATTTTTATATTAACAATTATCTCTTACCATATTAAAAGCTTTTTCTATTAGAAATATTTAGATCAACCATAAAACTTTTAAGTAGATGATAAAATGCGAATTAAATTCCAAGTATTCATTGAAATTATTGAGAAAAAGAATGTATCCGGTGTTCACAGGTACAAGTGTTCTAAGATTATTTTATAAACTTTTCAGATTTTTACGTTTGATGACTTTGCTACTCTTACTTGCTGGTGTTACTGTAGATTTTCTATAAAATAAAGTATCCACGTTTTGAACCCGACAGTAGTTAATAACAATTAAACATTCACATGAAACAAATATATAATTAGACACGTGTCATTCATTTTTCCGAGAAACTTCCTATGGTAGATATTAATTATTTCTATTTTTTTGTGAAATCTTCTCTCGAACATTCTCATTTCTTTTTTTATCATAATAGAGCAGTATTAAAATGTCTTTAGTTTACATTGGTCAACAAATAACAACTTATTGCGGTTTTTTTCTGCTCATTCTGGGTTCGATTGGAAATTTTTTTAATATATTTATTCTTTCTACTACACGTATTTATCGAACCAATCCATCAACATTCTATATTCTTATCGCATCAATTCATAATCTTTTTCAAATGATACCTAATCTTCTCTTACGAATATTAAGTGTTAGTTTTGGACTTGATTACAGTCGTACATCACATTTCTGGTGTAAATCACGAATAACATTTGCAGGTATTTTGGGTCGTATATCACTGAG